TAATGTGTTTTTGGGTGGATTCCCCTATATGAGGGCTGATGTTTCCATGTCTGATTTGTAGGTTTTTGAGGTGTCTGATCTGTTGGTGTATGTCCAAGGATGTGAAGTCTCTAAGGGGTTTGTGGTTGTATTTTCCAACATGTGGGATTTTTCTGAGCTGTTTGTGGTATGCATTCCAGAATGTGTCTCTCTCCACTCTGTGTTTTGTCGGTGGGCCTCTCTGATCTGTTTATGGCTGTCTTCCCAGGATTTTATCTGACATGTTTCTGGGTGTGTGCCTCAGGATCTGTTATCTGTATTCTCTTTGTGGGTAGTTCCCAGATATGAGGTCTCTGATTTGTTTGCCGTTGTTTGCTCCAGGATGCAATGCTTATGAATGGTTTATGGGTTGTGTTTTCCAGGATTTTATGTCTGTGATCTGTTTGAGGGTGTGTTCTAGGATGTGAGGTTTCTGATCTGTTTCTGTGCATATTTCCCAGCATGTGAAGTCTGTAAACATCTTGAAGTCTGTAAACTATATGTCCCAAGATGTGATAACTCTAACCTCTTCGTGTATATTATCAAGCTTTTGAGGTCTCTGGTTTGCTTCTTGCTGTTAGTTCCAGGATGTGAAATCCCCAGCTGTTTGTGGGTATGTTTCCCAGGGTATGTAGTTTATGATCTGTTTGTGGGTATATATCCAGGGTTTAAGGTCTCTAATCTCTTTGTGAATGTAGTTCCCAGAATTTTGAAGTGTATTTCCTAGAATATGCACCTCTGATTTATTTTGCTGTACGTCAAAGGGTGGGCAGTATCTGATCTCTTTGTGGGTGTACATTCCATGGGGTGTGCTCTGATGTTTTGCAGGCGTGCCTTAAGATAGGAGTCTCTGTTGTAATTATGGGTGTTGTGTGCTAAGACCTGAGTTCTCTTACTTCTTTTTGGGTTTATGTCCCAGGATGAGAAGTCTTTCATCTAGTTCTGTGTGTCTTTCCAACTTGCAAGCTCTACTGTCTGTGGGTGTATGTCCAAGGGTGTTTAGTCTGATCCATTTGAGGGTCCGTGGCCCAGGGTGTCAGATTTGTTTGTGGGTGTCCATCAGGATGTGAGGTATCTTGTATGGTTGTTTGTCTCAGGTGTGACAGTCTGTCCTTGTATGTTTGTCAACAGTGTGTGGTCTCTGGTCTGTCTATGGCTGTGTGTCCCAGGTTGCCACCTATTTTCCTTTGATCTAGCATGTGAGGTCTCTGAGGTGTTTTGAGTTTATGCCCCATGATTTGAGTCTCTGGTCTCTTTGTGGGTATAGGTCTCAATGTGTGAGCTACCTGACGCATTTGGTTCATTTCCCAGGATGTGAGTGCTCTGATCTGTGTGTGGGTGTATGTCCCTGAATGCTATTTCTCTGAAATATTTGTGGGTATAAAGCTCAGTTCATGTGGTTATTTTTGTGCATATGTCACAGGGTGTGGGGTCTACTCTTTGGGAGCATTTATTTCTTAGAATTTGAATTCTCTGAGCTGTTTTTGTGTGTATGTCTCAGGGTGTGAGGTCCCTGACCTGTTTGGTTGTGTATGTCCCACGATTTGAGGTCTCTGAATGATTTGATGTTCTGTATCCAGCATATTAATTCTCTGAATTCTGGATTCAAGAGTTCTAAGCTTTTTCTGGTCTACTTTCCAGGGGTGAGTTCACTGAGCTGTTTGGGTGACTGTCCTACAATACATGGTCCCTGAGCTCTTTTGGTTCAAGAGCTCCTTGACCTGTTCGGGATATAGTTTCAGGTATGAAACCTCTTCCTCTTGGGAGGTCTGTCCCAGGGTGTGACTCATTAGGGGTTTGTTCCAGGGTACGGTCTGTGAGCTTTCAGTGGTGTGTGTGTGTGTGTGTGTGTGTGTGTATGTGCACATATGCCCCAGTTAGTTTTTCTGAGCTGTTTGAAAGCCTTTGTGTATAAAATCTCTCAATGCTGTGGTGGTGTCTGTGCAGAGTATGGTGTCTCTGAACTATTTAGAAGTCTCTCTTTTCAGGTCTAAGGGCCCATAACCCTCAGATGAGGACTCTGATGTGTTTGTCTGTGCTCAGGGTGTGAATACTTTTGAGCCCATATCCTAGGGAGGGAATGAGTTCTCTATGATGTTGTGACTTGTCCTCGGTGTGATTTTTCAGAGCAGTTTCAGAATCTGTTTCCTGAGTTTTGATGTCTGCTGTTTCAGACTTCTGAGGTGTGTCCCCGAGTGTGAGATCTCTGATCTCCGTATCCCTTGGTGGTGAGGTCCCTAACTGTTGGGCTGTGTTTCCAAGGGCACAGTAGTTCCTATTGAGGGAGTCTCAGTTCCAGAGTCTGAGGTCTCTGAGTGGTTTGGGGTTCTGTTACCAGTGTGATGTCTCTCAGGTGTTTGCGGGGGCGGGGGGGTTGTCTGTGTACAGGTGGTTATGTATGTGAGCTGTGTGGGGATGTGTCCTAGGGTGCAAGTTGTGTTAACTCCGAGCACTTTGGCATTGTCTAACGTGTGGGGCCTCTGGAAAACCTGTGGGTCTGCTTTGCAGATTGTGAGGTTAATGAACTCCCTGAGAGTTTCTGTCCCATAATGTGAAGTACTTGAGCTGTGGGGGCTACGCAGCCAAATGTGCTGTCTCTGAGCTCTTTTTGTATCTCCCAGGTTAGAAGTTCTCTGAAGCCCTAGCTGGTCTGGCTCAGCGGATAGAGCATCGGCCTGCAGACTAAAGAGTCCAGGGTTCAATTTCAGTCAAGGGCACATGCCCAAGTTGAGGGCTCGATCCCTAAAAGGGGGCATGCAGGAGGCAGCTGATCAATGATTCTCTCTCATCATTGTTTTTCTCTCTCCCCCTCCCTTCCTCTCTGAAATCAATAAAAAATATATATATTTTAAAGAAGTTCTCTGAGAGCCTGTGTCCACAATGTAAGGTCCCTCTGCTGCTATGGGTCTCTGTCCGTTATGAAGTCTCTGCTGTTTATGGCAAACTTTGCACAAAATGTGAGGTTTCTAGGCTGTTTGATCTCTGTCAATTCTGGATATGAGTACAAAGGGTAAGTTCCATGAATGGTTCTGAGGTCTGAGTCCAGGGTATGATATTTCTGAATCATTTGGAGGATCGTGCTTACAGTGTGAAGATTCTGAGCTGTTTGGGGACTTGAAGCCAGGATGTGAGGTTTATAAGCTGTTTGGGGTCTGTGTCCAGGTTGTGTGATCTCAGATATATTTGGGGTATCACAAGTGTGAAGTCTCTAAACTATGTAGAGGATTAGTATTCAGATTTTCAGATCTTTGAGCTCTTCTGCAAACCGAGTGAGGCCTCTTGGGGGTCTCTCGGTATATGAAGGCTCTGAGCTATTTTTAGGAAGTCTGTGTCCAGTACATGCCCTCTCTGAACAGCAATCTGTGTCAAGATCATGGTCTCTGAGCTGGTTCAGGGCCTGTGTTCGAGTGTAGGACTTGGGAACTCTTGGGTATTGTGTTCAGGGTGTGAGGTCTCTTAGTTGTCTGGTGGTCTGGAAGAGGGTGTGAGGTCTCTGAACTATTTGTCCATCTCTCTCCCAGTGTGTAAGTTCTCTGAGGAATTGGTGGGTCTGTATCCCTGGTTCTGAAGTGTCTGAGCATTGTGGGGGTCTGTAGGCAGACTTTCAGATGTGCGGGTTACAAAGCTTGAGGTCTCTGAAGTATTTGGTAGTCTTTCCTCTGTTGCCCTATTCTGAACCATTTCGGGGTGTCAGGTGTGAGGTCTCTGAGCTATACACAGATCTCCTTCCCAGCGTCAGAATTCTCTAAACATGGCGCTGGGCTGAGATCTCTAAGCTCTTTGGGGTCTATGTCTAAGACTTGAGGCTCTAAGTTGTTGGGGCACCATATTCTAGGGAGTGAGGTCTTTTGGGTGTTTAGTTTTTCAGGATGTCTCTGAGCAATTTGGGGGTCTGTGTCCAAGAAGTAAGGTTTCAGGATCATTTAGGGATATGTGTTCCAAGTGTGAGGTCTCAGGTGTTTGGGGTGTGACATATCAGCTGTTTGGGGATCTGTCCCAGGATGGGAGGGCTCCAAGCAGTCTGGGAATCGATTATCAGGGTGTGAAAACTCTGAATAACTTAGGTAACAGTATCCCAGGCTGTGAGGTCTTTGAGATGTTTGTACATTTCTATCCCAAAAGAAAGTTCTGTGATGTGTTTGGGGTCTAGATCCCAGCATAGGAGGCAGCATTTAGGTCTTGGGGCTGTTTGCGAGTCTGGCTCCCTAGTTTTGGTGTAGCCTGTTAGTTATTCAGGGCCTATGTCCCAGATCTCCGAGCTGGATCCCAGGTGTGAGGTCTCTGAGGTCTGGGGTTAGTACCCAGAGTACATGTCTGTGAGCTGTTTGGAGGCCTATGTCCTACATGCTGTGTGTGGAGGTCTCTTAGTTTTTTAGGATTCTGTCACCTGTATGTCAAGTCTCTGAAATCTCTGGGTAAGTGTGTCACAGCATGTGACGTCTCTGAGCAAGAACAAAAGGCACAGCCTCACATTCAGGTTGAGGGATGATCAAAACAAGTATATCTGAAACATCATCTCCTTACTCTCCACTTTCTACCCTGGTGCATATTAGGCGCTCAATAATTATTTGCAGAAAATGTAAATACAACAAAAATACAAAATTTTCTGTTTGAAAGGAGTAGGCAGGCTTTGGGTTCAAAGCCTCTAAGAGCAGGGAGGGCCCAGCTAGAATTGTATCATATTTCTGTATTTCCACCGTGTTTATTTCTTGGGTTATTTTTCTTTATGGCAAATGATAATGGTTTGTCTATTGAGACAGCAATGGATTTAGTTTGCTTTTTCAGTGCATTTTAAAATTTTAAGTATAAAACAAGCTTCTTTTAAGTCAAGATGTTAGGGAGACAATGGTGGAGGTGGTATGCTGTGGGGGTGTTCTAGTCATATGGTTGAGGTTTGAGGAACACGTCCCTGGGTACCCCAGCTCCCAGCCTCTCATCCCCCCAACCCCACCTACGTGAGGTCTTCAATCCCCACACCTTGGTTTGTTCAGTCAGCAACTCATTTTATTGATGCCTACCCCAGGCTGGGTTGGGCCAAGAAATATACAAGAGGAGAATGAGATTCAGTCCATGCCTGAAATTCAGTCTAGGGGCAGGGAGCACAGACACACAGACAGCCACACAGATCTGGTGGCAGGGCACAGTCTCACAGAGGGGCACTCTGGGCACAGGTAGTCAGGGAAGGCTTCCTGGAGAAGACCTCACAGGGGAAGCAAGGGGTGAGGCAGCCATCAGAGCCTTCGTCTTCTGTACATCTGTGGGCAGGTAACTTTTGAGACTGTACTTGGCCTCCTGCCATATGGGCCCTTTCCTAGGATCCACCTCCACAGTTTTTAAGGCTTCCCTGAGACAATCTATGTAGACCAGGTGCTCAGCCCAGTGCCTGGCACCTCAGCACCACCCCATCAATGCACATTTTTGTCCTAAGTGCTATCTACAGCCTACCTAGGTCTTGGTTCCAGCTCTGAGTAGTCCCAGCAGTCGTCACACGCCGACGGGGCTCCCAGGCGCCTTCTGTGCACCTCATGGGCAGAGCTCAATCCCAGTCCACCTTAAGGGTTCGGAGAGTCTGGACTGCCTTCCTCTCATTGGCCAGTGACCAGTGAGCCATGGGCATCCACTCTCCTTCCAGTGGCATGTGGGCAGCTACTTCTGGGATGCAAAGCCTACATGTGAGCATAAGCAGAAACCAGTCCCCAGCCCTACAAACCCTCTTTCTTTCACCAAGTGGGCTGGGAAGTCTGAACTCTGATGTCAGCCTGCGCTGGGGCAGCTTCCACACTCCTGGAGCAGTAGGGAGAGGGCCTGCAACAGACCTCTCAAGCTCTAGGCTGAAGCAGGTGAATAACCATCTTTCTATTCTGGGGCTGGGGTTCACCCCTGGGACCCCCTTGAAAGGCTGTGAATCTCAACTGCAGAAACTCCTGATGTTAACAACTTACTTCGCAAAATGGGCAGAGGGTTGTTAAGTGCAACCCATGGAGCTAGGACGGGGAGAGGGGATTTCTGAAAGTCAGTCCTCACCACAACCCCGAGCACAGGGCAGGTGGGGGTGAGTGGAAGCAGGCGGGAGGCCCTGGCAGTCATTCCTCAACAGGAGGGCAAGTGGGTACAGGGGTGGGTGAGATGGGCTTTAGGCCCCCACAGTCAGTCTGGCCTCAGATTTCGAAGGGCTAGAAGAGGTATTTGCGGCAGGATTCAGTCCCACACTTGCATTCAATACGGACCCGCTTCTTGGGGGAGCCGGGGAGCACAGCCAGGCCAAAGTTGGAGTCCATGCGGGTGCTCTCCATGTCCACGGGGTCCACTGTGGAGTCACACAGCCAGGGAGGGCAGGAGGGGGGAGGGGACTTGTTAGAAGGCCTAGGTGTAGTGTCCCACTGCCCCTTTACCATGAGACCCAGGGATCTTGGGGGCTGGGAACAGGTCTGGGATTTGGGTCAGGAGGGGGGTCATGGAGTTGGTAGTTTGGGGCTGGGGCCAGGGCTTAGCACTAGAGGGTGTTCACATGTTAGGAAGATGGCCAGGATTTGGGGGTTATACGGGGGAAAGGAAGATGGCCCGGGGTTGTGGGGAGGCAGGGGGTGTTGGGGAGAACCAGGAGGGTTGTGGCAGGCAGAGGTCTGGGAATGAAGGGTCACCTGGGCATCAGAGGGATATCTGAACTCTCCTGCCAAAGATCCCCTCTTGAGTGTCTCAGAGGTGGCTAGTTTGTCAAGTAGGGGACTGGTTGGAGGCCATAGGGTGTCCAGAGGCTTAGAACGAGGAAAGCCAAAAAGGGTTAGGAACAGGGAGGGTTGGGGGACTGAGGATATTTCAGACAAGATTGAAATCAGGAGAAGTATTAATTCTCAAGCCAAACATCTTCCTCCCCCAGGAGTCTTGGGAGAAGTTGGTCCAGGGGTTGGGAATGAGGGGACCCCCAAAGGGTAGGCAGGGGTCCAAAAGTCCAGATGGGAGATTGGGAGTCAGAAAGAGCATCTTAAAGCTCCTTGGGGAGGGGTCTTTGTGTCCCATGTCACTGTGTGCCCCTGCCCCCAGTCCCTTGACACCCCCACCTTGCATGTTGTAATCAAAAGTGAGCTCCTCGCCTGCCCAGATGGTTCTTGTGGCAAAGAAAGCAATGCGGGGCAGCCGCTCATCAAGGTTGTCTATGAAGACGTTGTACACCTGGAGGTTGGGGTCGCACTGGGAGAAAGAGAACAGCAGGAGGGTGAGGAGGGGCCCAGCCTGCTCCTCCCGACCCTCGCCCACCTGCAGGGTACCCACACTGTGGTTGACAAAGTGGGAGATGTTGCCATAATAGGCGGCATCCACAGTGTACACATCCTCCACGTAGTCCAGGTCAAAGAGGTATGTAGCACCCTGGCGGTCGTAGATCTGGCCCCGCCGCTCCGCCTCCTCTGAAGTAATAATCTGGGGAGAGGGTCATGGGAGAGAAGGGATTGGTCAAGAAGGCTAAGGAAAGCCAGCACAGTGCCTGCCCCCCCCCCCCCAGGAGGAGAAAAACAAGTGAGCAGGGAGGCACCCCACCCATGTGGCTGGAAGGCATGGACACATGGGAGGCAGTGAGGCAGAGGGTCTGTCAGTCCTCCCAGGGGGCTGGGCCTCAGCTGCCCACCACCCATCCATCCTCAGGCCTCTGGATGGTCTAAGGCAGCGGTTGCCAACTGGTGGTCCGCAGACCACTGGTGGTCCATAAGGTCCGAAAGGTTGGCGACCGCTGGTCTAGGGGGTCTCTCAATGGTGAGTGAAGGCTGGCCACAAGGTCTAGTGGTGATAAAGTAATCAGTCAGACAGACAGACACAGATATAGTCCCATCATGAGACCCATAGTGAGATATAGGAGATGCAAATCAAGGGCAAGAAAGAAAAAGACTCAGGGCTCAACAGAGAGGGGAGAGGAAAGCAGGGAGAATGAGAGGCTGACTAATCCAGGGCAAAGGGGCCTGAGGCTTCGCAGGACCCAGCACAAGACAAGACAGCCTGTACAGGGCCATGTACACAGCAGTGAGAAGGGCACAGAGAAGCAGAAGAGCCATGGGTTGGTGGGGACAGGGAGACTGAATGGGAGACTCAGACAGGAGAGCTAGAGGCAGAGTGAGAAACACAGCCAGAAGCTTAATATGAAAGATCCAGGTCCAGAGATAAGACCAAGATCCCTGAGAATCTCAGATGCAAGAAAAAGGCTGAGGCCAAAAACACAGAAGGAAGATGAAAGAGAGGAGACAGGAGCTTGGGTAGGAACCCCTCCCTCAGCCCCAAGGCTATGCAGTATCAACTACTGGAATTTAAGATGGCAGGAGACATCTCTCAAAGGCTGGGTCCCCTGCTAACCTAGTAAATATGAAGCTGCTCCATGATCCTAGCCCTGACCTGCCCTTGCCTTCCAAAGGCTGTAGAGCAGGGGTCCTCAAACTACGGCCCGCGGGCCACATGCAAATACAAATATTGTATTTGTTCCCGTTTTGTTTTTTTACTTCAAAATAAGATATGTGCAGTGTGCATAGGAATTTGTTCATAGTTTTTTTTTAAACTATAGTCCGGCCCTCCAACGGTCTGAGGGACAGTGAACTGGCCCCCTGTTTAAAAAGTTTGAGGACCCCTGCTATAGATGGATTCTCCACCCCACCGCCATCCAGCCCAATCTATCCTCTCCATCCCTCAAGTTCCCTCTTCCCCCTGGGGCCAACCATAACAGCCTTCTGGTAATCCCCACGTGTAGCTGACCATGCCAGTCTCTGGGTGAGGGTTCCCTGGTACCTAAAACTGCCCACGCCTCAGCCTAGGGTCCCTCCAGACCAGGCAGATCTTTCTCCTCTCCCAGGATTCCACCCAGCCCTCAAAAACAAGTGCCAGCAGTGTACAGCACACAGCAGACTCGCAAGAAATGCCATTTTATTCTTTCTAGCCCAGCAACCTATACCATGTCCAGCAGTAGTCCTACTGGCAACTCACTTACCCCTACACACACACACCTTCTTCCTTCCCTCTCCTTTTGTTGCAGACCCAGTGCCCATCACCAGCCCCCTTCTGACACTGGATCTACCCTTGCCTCCTTTCTAGCTCATCCTCATGCCAGCTAGGAGCCACGCTGTTTCTACTTTCAGATCTCCCCTTCTAGCTTTGACCACCCTGTTTTCTCCACTCTGAATGGCCACACTAGTGTCCTGTCTCCTACCTGCCTCTTACACCATCACCTCCAGCCTGTCCCCTGTCAAATGCTGATCAACAACACCTTTAGGAGAACAAGATTTATCCCTCAGATCACACTGCTCACTGCCCCATACTCCAGCTTTTCCTTCAGGAACCTGGCTTCCCTGTACCCCAAGGATTTATTTATCCACTCATGCATTCAGTGGATTTTTATGAGGCTTACCCTGTACCTGGTCGTAATGCTCAGAAGTCAGTGTCTGCAGAGGCAGGCATGGGTCACAGTTGGGTGGGGGAGACAACACAGGAACCAGGCTCGGTCCTGGCCCTCAGGGGTCAGTTCAGTGGGGGAGTCACAGGGACCAGGCCCAGTCCTATCTTTCATGGGTCAGTCTTGTGACAGAGAAGAGATGGATTCAGACATTAACAGTGAAAGAATGTGGAGGGTTTCAAGAGCAATGGGAAAGAGAAACACCATTGAAAGCAAACTGCAGGTCATAAAAGGGCTTTGACACTAGATTGAAGAGTGGGGACTCTCTCCTGAGGGACACAACAGGAGGCACAGCAGCATTTTGAGGAAGAGGACGGCAAGGCCAGTCTCCCTCTACCTCCTGGAGAGCACACACTCTTCTTTTGTGGTGGCAACTCCAGATGTTACTTCTCTGTGCAGCCTTCCTCAATCTCCTAGTCCCCACCCACCAAACCTCTCTGAAGCCCTAGGATCAAAGGGCAGCCTCTGCTGGGCTTCCAGCATACTGGGTGGTGTCTGAGCCAGCTTTTGCCTTTCAGCCCCTCCCCAACCAGAGGGAATGCCCCACAACTTCCCCAGTCTCATCTTCCTGCCTGTTCTGCCCCTACCTGCTCTCCCTGTCTCACCAGGAATGAGTCACACTGCAAGGCCTCCAGGGCACAAACCGTTCCTGCTGTCTTCTTTTCAGTCCCACTCTGTAAGGGTTGGGCCACCCTGAAAACTCAGGAACAAATCAGTTCGTGTTTCTGCTTCCTAGCAACTCTCCAGAATGACTGGGGAAGATAGGTGGGCTATAGCTGGCAGCTTGGAAAGGGTGCTGACGTGAACAGAACCACAAGACTCTGCCCCCTCCCAGATATGGGACCCTAAATGTTCTCTCCCTACACCTGTTTCCTCAGCCAAAAACAAAACAAAACAAAAAAACAACAAACAAAAAAACCCAGAAAACAAAAAAATCCACCAGGTCTGGCAGGGCACCAATTTTAAACACTTGGGCCTTTTTTTTTTTTTTTTTATCCACTTGACTAACTTTCTGACTCTGAGCCCTTTACTATACTACTCTAGGCCTCAGTTTTCCAAACTGTAGAATGGGGATGACAATGACAAAATCCCAGCCAGACAGGGGCTGTTGTAAAGATTTGACAAGATGAGGGATGTGAAAGGTATTTCTGTTTTCATTTCAGTTAGGAACAAAGCTATGTGCCCTTTCCCCAAGAAAGGAGAAACTGCTGCTCATTAAATGATATGCAATCATTTAATTAAACTAATCGAGACTCACTGCCACTTCAGAGTTTTTAAAATAAGAAGACAATGTTTTAGAAAGGATGAAACAGGCTATGGCTCTCTGTTGAGTGAGGGTAGGGATGTTCTGACAGAAGGTAGAAAGGTGCAAAGGAGAGGAAGGGCAGCTCACGTAAAGGAACTCTCAGCGCAGACACAGAGGTAGGAGAGTGAATGCCGTGTCCAGATTGTAGGATAGGGTGGCGAACAGGTATGAGATGTGTACCCTCGATTGTATAACACTAGGTAGGGTCTGGGACAACACCACGTAATCAAGTCAATTAATATTTCTACAATGAAATTTATGAATAGTTATACCAAGTAAGAGAAAGACTATAAATATGCCCAAATCAGGTCCAGTTAGGTTTTATAGCCAGATGGGTTACAAAAAACTTGGGTTTCTGAATTTTGGAATATAATGGCTAACACTGATTGGAGACTTACTCTATACTGAATAGTATGTAAATGCTTCACACATGATGACTCTTTTAGTTCTTACACAAGTGTATGAGGTGGGTGCAATTATCATTCCCATTCTACAGATTAGGGGACAGACACAAAGCGGTGAAGTGACAGCTGATGAGTGGTGGAGCTAGGTTTCAATCTCGGGCACTAGGCTCCACCCTCCTGCCCATTTTGCCATGCTGCCTCCTCAGGAGGATGCAAGATGAGTTTGGCTCTGGTAGTGTTTGGGAGCCTCTGTTGCCACCAGATCCCACAGGTCTGAGGGTATTGCAGGGGGGTCTGGAAGTTGCTGAATATAGCAGGAGGGAGGCTAAGAAATAGCTCAGAGAGAATGTGTGGAGAGGAGGAAGAGTAAAGACAGGGAACAAGAGGGTCCCTGGAAACCCTGATGTTTACAGTGTAGAGGAGTAAGGACACTAAGGAAGAACAGCCAGAAAAGTACCCGGCCTAGGGGACTTTGGGGTGCCTGGGGGCTGCAGATTCTTCCTCCTCTTTGCCTCAGGATCCTGTGTTGTAGACAGCCTTTCCTTAAGATCATCAGTACAGTAGAGTGAAACTAGAGACACTATCTGTCCTGGACTTCCTCTAGGACTGCTGGGCTCCTGTGGGGTCAGGACACCTCCTCCTCTAGACCATCAGAAGCTCTGGATCCTCCTCCAGAATGGTGACATCCCTCTGAGGTGTCAACATCTCCTCCCAACTGTTAGCATCCCTCAGAGGTCTAGACACCTCCTCCAGAGTGTCAGGACCTAAGGGTGTGGACAGTTCCTCTAGGCTTTAGGGTCCTCTTGGGTGTAGACCTGATCTCCTTTTGACAGTCAAAATCCCTCTGGGGTGAGGACATTTCTTTTTCTTGACTGTCAGGACAGGGTGGGTGCGGACACCTCCTAAGGCAGACCACCAGGGTCCTCTGGAGTGTGGAGTGTTTGCTCTTATCCTCTAGGTCACTCTGGGATGTGGACATCTCTTCCTGCAGATTGTCAGGACCCCTCTGGGTTAATGCCACCTCCTCCTTCTTCCAGACTGTCAGGTCCTTTGACATGTGGACACTTCCTCCACCAGACCGCCAGGATTATCTGGGGTATGGACATTTCCTCATCCAGACTCCCCATCAGGGTTCTCTGCAGTGTGGGCTGCTCTGCCTCCAGATCATCTCTGCCCCTCAGGGCAATGACTCTCTCTACTTTATAGTTTGTCAAAGTGGGAGCCTGTCCTCTTCATCAGTTTCATTACCACTGTATAGACACCCTCAGGGGTATGTCCCTTATGCCAATTTCTGTCACTTCCCAATCATAGCAACCCCTAAGAAACCTGTGGAAATATGGAGGAATTTGGGGTTGTCACCATGACAGGGCACTCATGGATTTAAATGGTCCAGGTCCAGGGATGTTAAAAGTTCCTCAATGCATGAGATGGTCCTACGTAACAAAGAACTGCCCCACCCCAAATGCTCAATGCCTCCCACCTTTGAAAGTGACACTACAGACACTTAGTTATTCACCCAAATCCCTGTTTTTCACCTGGGCACATAGCTAAGTCATACTTCTCAGCCTGCCCTGCATGGAGGTAAGGCCAGTGATTCGGTTCCAGGCAGTGGAGGTGGACAGACGTGATGTGCACCGCGTCCAGGTCTGACCCATTAGGAACCTCCCTTCTCCCCCCACTCAGTCTACTTACCAGGCAAGGCTGAGGATCACAGGCAGCTCCAAGGCTCTCAGGCATGGCAAAGGCACAAGAGGGAAAGAGCCTCATGGCCGCACCACTGTATAGGACACTACCCAAACACCCATGCCAGACTGTTACAGGAGCAAACAGACTTCTCATTTGCAAAGTCACTAAGACCAGCGAGTTGTTTGGTCTGGCAGCTAGCCTGCCTAATATTGCTGGTCTTTCCAGTATCCTGCAAGTCTAGAGGAGGAAGCAGCCAACCTCCTTAAGGCATGTCTATGTCCTACTCCTAACTGTTCTTTTGTGCAGATTAGTAAAAGGCGATCTTTCTGGGAAGACACTGCTTAGCAGTAAGCCGGACCCTTGTAAAATGAGAAATGCCTTTGCAGGTAACGCAACCCCACACGGCCCATTAAAAGGAACACTGCCTGGATTTCGTTCCCACTCTTCTCTTTGCTAGGTACCCTTATGAAATCAACCCAGTCTAGAAGTGTTTCAATATGCTTTTAACTACCAGCTTGGAATACTCTCCCCTGCCAGGATATCCCTAGCCCTTGGGTTAAACACCACCACCACCCACATTTTCCACAGGGAAAGCAGGAAAGTTGCAGGCACACCGTGATGAGAGCTGGGCGCACACAGTAGAAACACAAGATGGGAAGAGCTGCACACACACGCATGGTCCTGACTCCCTACCTCTCCCACGTACTCCATGACGAAGCTGTTCTTGCGGATCTTCTCCAGTGTGCGGACGCCCCAGCCACGCCCATCATCCGTGCGGAAGATGCAGAGGTTGTAGCGGATGCCCTTCTGTACCACACGGTTGGGGCAGTCATAGCCACAGCGGCAACGGGAGTTGCACTCGTAGATGGGCAGCCCAGCTCGCAGCCGCACCTGGCCCTGGTCATTGTAGGCAAACTTGTGCAGCGATGCCCCCGGGCAGCAGCCTCCAGCAGGTGCCCACAAGCAGTCCTTACACTCACAGCCCACGGCCACCTGGTTGAGGGTGATGCCCTCACCAACGCGGTACTCGTTAATGTATACAAAGGCCCGAGGGGGGCCATCCAGATCCACCTCATTCTCCACAGTGATGCGTCCCAGATGGTTGCGTTTGGCATTGAGCTCCTGCTCCCAGAGCTGGAGTGCCCGTCTCTGCTTGGCCTTCTGCACCAGGTAGCTGGCCAAGCTTGGGTCCAGGTGCCGGGGTGGCTTTGACCGGTGGCGCCGCCGGACCAACTCTCGTTCTAAGTCCTTGTGGAACTGCTTGAGAATGCGCACACACTTGAGATTCTGCCGTGGCTCCCAGGTACTCTCTGACTCTGGGTATCCACGCCATTTTACCAGGTAATACTCCTGTTCCTGTTGGGGGGACCAGGGGGATGGGGGCCACCATAAGTGGCGAGACCCTTGGGCCAGCCCTCGTGAGACTTCCATTCCAAAACCAATGGATAACACCCAAACCACTCCCCACCCTTTTCTGGAATGGCTCCATGCATTGGTTAAAAAGCATGGGCTCTAAAGCCAGGATCAGTAGGTTCAAGTCCTGTTCTACTCATGCTGTCTAAATTCTAACTTTTTAAAGAGTAATTTTAATTGATTTTTAGAGAGAGAAACATCCATGTGAGAGTGAAACATTGACCGGCCACCTCCTGCACGCCCCCGACTGGGAATCAAACCTGCAACCTGGGCATGTGCCCTGGGAATGGAACCAGCAACCTTTCAGTGCATGGGACAATGCCCAACCAACTTAGCCACACTGGCCAGGGTCAAATTCTAAATTTTAATTTTATCTCCTAAACCTACTCCCTTCTCTGTCTTCCTCATCATTAGCTCCCTCCTGCTAGCAGCTCAGGCCCCAACTCTTGGGAGTCATCCTTGACTCCTTTCTCTAATACTCCTCACATCCACCCTCAGCAAATCCTGTCAACCCCACCTTCAAACTACATCCAGAATTCAACCACTTACAACCATCATCACTGTCACCACTCGCCTGGACTGCAGCAGTGGCCTCCTCACTGGTCCCCTTGCTTCTGCCCTTGCCCCTATAGTCTGTTCTCCAAACAGCAGCCAGAGGGACCTTCTCTTGCTGGGGGCGGCTATAGGACACAGTTTAACTACACAGACACCCTGGGTACAAATTCTGAACCTTCATTCCCTAGTAGTATGGCCTTGGACAAGTTATTTAATTTTGCTGAGCCTTGGTTTCCTCATCTGTAAATAAGGGGAAAAACTTAAATTTTTTGGTTAACATTCATTACGTAGCATGTACTGTTCTAATGTACTGTATTAACTAATATAATCCTCACAACTCTATATGAGGTAGATAATACTAAGCATCCTCTTTTTATAGATAAGGAAAATAAAGTATAGAGAATTTGCATTAAGTATCCGGGGGTTACACGACTAGGATTTGAACTGATGTGTGCTAACGCCAGTCTGTTCTCTTAACTATCCTAACATTACCTCCTGTGGCCATGATAACAGTTCCCATTCACAGTGTTGTTGGGGGCATTAAGTGAGTTTCTGAGGGAAAGCACCTTGCACAAGTGCTCATAACCGTTAGCTATCCTCATCCCCACTCTTGGGCTCAGCAGCTCAACTAGTTTGTATTCTTAGGGAAGTGGGAGGAGAGACTTATTTGGGGATTCATCCTGGCTCCTGGCTCCCTCAGAATGTTACTAGGTTTCTCCATCAGTAAGACAGGAATGAGAAGAGGGCCTACTAATCCTATTTTTTAAGATCAGAGAAGAAAATTCCATTTAGAATCAAATGCAGACAGGAGGGCAAGGGAGCAGGAAGCCAGCTTCCTTGAGACACCCCTGCCCGGCCATGGTCTCCCCAGACTCACGCGGATCTTCTTGTAGTCACACAGGTACTCGACTTCAAAGTCATAGAGGTTCCTCTTGGAGATTCCGAGGGCAGGGCATGAGAGCTTGGCCAGGCGGCAGAGGTCCTGTAGCTGATTCCAAGAAGATTTGCAACACACACTGCAGCCTAGAACACAAAAGACATTACTGGGCATCCTGGCAAAGCCAGGAGTCAAAGAGTACACCAAGTCCTCCCTGGGACTTCGAAAGAACTCCCTCAGAGTCAGTGAAACCTAACCCAGAGGTCTTCCAAATGCTAAGATGTTTCTACCACAAAAATGTGCCAGCTCCTTCAACACCAGTGCTCACTATCCAAGGCCACTCCTGGAGCAAAAGAACTCAAAGTAGGATCTGCTGCATGGATTGTCCTAAAGGAATCTATTCCCAGAGCTCCCTCTATACTATTCCTAAAACTGCCTGCAAAACCATCCTAGCGTTCAGGACCTAATCCTCCTCTCCTCTACACTTTGCAAAAAGAGAATAACCTCCCATCTAAGGAGGGAGCATTGCCCCAAGAGTGTAGGTGGTATGAGGTTAAAATATCCAGGGCACCAAACAAACTGGAAAGACTGGTCAGCAAGCCCTGATCTAAAATCCCTGGGGACCAGATGTGTTTTGGAAATTTTTTATTTTATTTTACAAGTGTAGTTCTCGGTATCTCCCACATATTACCTAACACCCCCAGTGTATTCAGGGGCTTCAACTCATAATCAAACATTTCAATAATTCTGCAGCAAAAGTCTGAATTTTCACATTAAATAGGAGAAATAAAGAAGTAAGGTAGTGCGACTGAACAGTCCCACCTTATAGTCTAGCTTTGCCACTGAATGGTGCCAAACTTAAGTGTTCAGAGCTTTTTAAATTTCAGAATTATGAATAAGAGAGTGTGCAGTGGTGTTACATTACAGGAATATAGGAAACCTCATTGAATGATTACCTGGGTGCCTTAAACCCACGAGGTATATTTTTTTCACACTGCATTTTGAGTTTCTCAGCCTCATTCACATTTCTGTGAAGGGTAAAGCTTGCCCACAGGAATTCAGGAACAGGCAAAGCAGTAATAGGTTAGTGACAATGATTCTTTAAATATGCCTGGGATGTTTCTGGGGCTACCAAAAATTTCCAAGACACACAGATCCTTTTTTAAAAAGCCTTCTGATTCAAAGATTCAAGGTACATTCTCAATGTGCTTTAGAAGCCATTTTATCAGATCATTTCACACAACACATTATAAACGTACAGCCATTCCTAACCCTGTTAATATTTTCTACCTCCTATTCAAAAACATTGAAACTCATGATGAAATGCTCTAGATGTCAACCTCAACATGTATAAGAGCTCTGCAACACTTCGTGTGCACTTCCCCCTACACACAGACACACACAGACACACACACACACACAGATACACAGAGACACACACACAGACACACACACACACAGACACACACAGAGACACAGACACACACAGACACACAGATACACACAGACACACAGAGACACACACAGAGACACACAGAGACACACACAGAGACACACACACAGACACACACAGAGAGACACACACAGAGAGACACAGACACACACACACACACACACACACAGGGACACACACAGAGACACAGACACACACACAGACACACACACACACAGATACACACAGACACACAGATACACACAGACACACAGACACACACACAGACACACACAGAGAGACACAGACACACACACACACACACACACACACACACACTTAGGCCTAGTGGAGACACGGCCTGTGCCCACGCCTTCCTCTCCCTATGACGTCTCTCCCTTTCAAATCCCTTAACTTGCATTTGAACCCCCACTAAAGTGGTCCCAACTCACATCTCCAGCTGCTGGCGCCGCACTGACCACAGGTGGAATCTCCTATCCCTTAGAGTCCCCCTCCACACTCATGGAACCCATCCTCCCCGCAGCTTTCCTCACCCAGAGGAGCCCCCCCCCCAATATACTGAGAAAATCACCCCTTTTCCCCCTGCACACGGAGGAGTCCAGCTCTCCCATTCCGGAAGACCCTGCCCCTCTTCCTGAGGGAGTCCTCTCTAGCGCAGCCCCTTCCCTCATCACGCTGAGGAGATCCCCAGAGCACAAGATCCCCCCGCCCCCCCACTCTCCAAAGGAGGTTCGTCCCCTCCCCTTCTCTCTCCTTCCGGCGTCTCGCGTGGACACCCAGCGGGTAACGGTCACCGGCGGCTGATTTTCCCGCGCGCGGGCACGGCCTCCCAGACCAGCCGCCCCCGCGCGCGCGCGCACGCGCCGGCCAGTCGCTTCGGCGGCGCGCGCCCCCTCGCCAGTGCCCACTGCGCCCCGCGCCCGCCGCCGCGAAGCACGCGCCCCCTCCTCTCAGCCCCGCCCTGCCTCGCGCGCCAGGCCCGCGCTCCCCGGCCCCAGCCTCTCGGCGCTGGCCTTCCGGCTCCCGGCTCCGTGGCTTCGGACGCCCGGGTCCCGAGCCCGCGACGCTACCCCTCCAGCCCACGCAGCCCGGCCAGCAGGCCGGCGCCGCTGCCACCACTCCTTCACCTTTTAAATTTTCCGCCATCTTTCCCCACGGCTAACGACATTCGGGCCTAACCGGCCTCGCGAGAAGAGACCTCGCGCGGGCGTGGCCGAGAACGCACAGCCTATTGGCCGCACCGCTCCGCGAGCTGGGCCCGCGCGGACCAACCGGCGAGCCGTGACCGGACCCCTCCCGCCACTCTGCTCGGTCCCGGAGGCGGATGCTCGCCGGCGCTTTCCCAGCGTGCGTCTGCGCGGCGGCGGTGGCGGCGGCGCGGCTACGGGGGTTGCGGGAGGCCCTGCCGGTCCGCCCGGTCTGTCTGTCACGCTGTCAGCCAATCGTGTTGTCAGCCAGCCAGACCGGGGCGGCAGGGGTTGGAAGACTGGTGGCGGAAATCCGTCGTGCTGTCAGACCCCCAATTACCACCCCCGGGCAGCCCGTCACGTTTTAAGCCCGAGCAGATCGTGACTCCCCGCCTACGGTAGACTACGGTCTCAGGATCAGTCCCGACTCAAATGGCACAATGAGTCTCATCACAGCTGCCTATCAGACCCCGCCTGCCATGCGTGCCATTCACACCATCAGTCACCAGCAGCAGCCATCCGCCTGCACTCCCCCACCCCCGCCAGCGGCAAGTCCCTAGAGGCGGACATGCTCTGCTTACTAACAGCTACACGGCTCGTGAGCCTGTCACTGCCCCAGCCGGTCCCTGTCCCTCCTTCGCTGGCAGTCACTCAAGCAGCGATTTCTCTGGCTATCCTTGCACTGGCACCTGCTCTGAATCTCCCTGGGGAAGTCATCTCACTCCCCACTCAGGAAGCCCCAGACACCAGCCATGCCCTCGGGCAGGCTGCCATTAGGTCAGGCCTGGCTGGTATTGTCAGCATCTCATGTAACCCTGTCAGGCAGTCACACTATCCACCATCAGTTGTCAAACGACTGTCATTCCCCCCTCATTCCGACCATGATCAGGTAGTTTATTCTCTCAGAGCAAATAGTCACAGAAAGTAAAGGTAGAATTAAGCCTCCAAGCCACCTGTCAGTGGATCAGCAGTCTGTCCTTTTTCAGGGAGGCATGCCTCCCATTGGACAGTCACCCATCAGGGCAACTGTGATTCTTTGTTGTTTTTTGTTTGTTTGTTCATCCTTACCCAAGGATATTTTTCCATTGATCTTTTAGAAAGAGTGGAAGAGAGAAGGAAAGACAGAAACATTGATGTCAGAGAAACACATCGATTTGTTGCCTCCTGCACACACCCTGACCAAGGCCTGGGCTGGGAAGGAGCCTGCAACCAAGGTACACCAAGGTACGTGCCATTGACCAGAATCGAACCCAGGACCCTTTGGTCCTCAGGCCAATACTCTATCCACTGAGCCAAACCGGCTAGGGCTGGGCAACTGTGACTCTAACCTCATACAGTCATCAACTCAGGCAGTTACACTGCTCTTTCTTAGTCAGCTGGCTTGTGACCCATTCTGTCTGCCCTTCATCGTATTGTAGATCAGCCAGGTAGCCATGCTCAGCATCCAACTGAGCACATGATCTGTCAAACATGCTGTAATTTGGTCTGGGCAGACAATCAGTCACCAGAGACAGCTGCCTATCAGGGGGCCACAGATCTGTCCATCAGCCAGCCTGAAGTCTCCCCAGCGTAGCCCTCCTTTACACATCACCAGGCAGAGTAACATCCAGACACTGCCACTCCCTCTGGCCAGGTGTGATTCCTAGCAATGGTCATCCTCCACCCACAGCATCCATGGGTCAGGAGTCATCCAGCATGTCAGTCCCTCTGGAGGCTTCCAGTCTTCTACACTGTCAGAACACCAGCCCTAGTCAGTCCCAGGTGGGCTGTAATTGTTAGCTATTCAGTACTGCACAGCATCAGAAAACCTTATGTCAGTTCCTGAAATTGCCCCTCTCTTTGTCAGTCCATGAGTTATGTAGTCAACCAGTTATATGGTTATACAGTTATAAGGTTACTAGAGGCCCAGTGCACGGATTCATGCACCAGTGGGGTCCCTCGGCCTGGCCTGCGGGGATCAGGCTGAAACTGGCTCTCCAACATCCCCCAAGGGGTCCTGGATTGTATGATCGACCGAGGAGGGACCACAGGAGGTTGGCCAACCAGGGAGGGACCTCAGGAGGGCTCCAGGGTATGTCCGGCCCATCTCACCCAGTCCCCATCGGCTGGACCCCAGCAGCAAGCTAACCTACCGGTCAGAGCTTCTGCTCCTGGTGGTCAGTGCATGTCATAGCGACTGGTCAAATGATTGAACAAACGGTTGGACACTTAGCATATTAAGTGTTTATTATATAGGATTCTGTCTGTCAGTCCAGCTGTGAGCTGTTTGGAGAAATGACAGGTTCCATCAGCCCCTGCTTGCCATAAGTGGAATAGTCAACAGCATAAGTCCCACCATACATTCCCCTTCCTTCCCTAATTCCATCTAGAACAGAGTCTAATGTTAGTCCTCACAGGCTCCCCATCTCCTGGGGCAGGCAGTTCCCTCCCACTCCCTGAAGTCCAAGAGACCTGTCCAACCCATGAGAGTGGTTTAAAGTATGATCTTTTTTTTTTTACTTAAAACTTTAAAAATATGTTAAAGGAATTTTAAAAGGAAAAAACTCCCTAGACACAATGTTTCCCTGTTCCTTTCCAGTTTTTTCTATAGATACATTCCCAAAACAAGTATTCTGGAGGGCAAGTCCTGGAGGAGGAGGAGGAGGGGTGGCCCAGTGGGCTCCCAGTTGGAAATTTGTTACATGTTGTGACCTCCATTTTATAGATAAGAAAACTGAGACTCAGAGGTGTGGCATCTTGCCTGGGTTCTACAGCAGATCTATCTGATGGCCTCTTCCATTGCCATTGGCCAGGACTTGGTTTACACTGGCTACTGGGCAGAACCAAATTTTAATACTAAGAGGGGGATTCTCTGTTTTCCACTATAAATATAACACAAGCTATATGTGATTTTATAATAGCCATTGGTAATCAATGAGATTTTACTATAGCTGTCTTAGATGTCTGGGGCCTTGATGTCCTTTGTCTAGGTAATTCTTCCGGGTTGCTAGTGACCATACAGTTTGTGATCACATGATCATCTCTATTCCTGTTATATAGGACTGACTGAAATTACAACTGGATTGAGCAAAAAAAGGATTAAGATGATTAAGACTCAAACTTGGGAGGAACTAAGGCAGTGGAAGGACTCAGAACACGTGAAATTCCTTAAATAAAAATTTATTAACTTTAAATAATTGTGCCTGTTACAAATAATAAAAACCCTATTGCAGAAAAAAAGAGGGGGATTCTGCCCATTAGGATCCTATGTGAGTTGTGTACTTGGAGAGTGGGGAAGTCTGACCATTGAGAACTCTCTTGATCTAGTATTGTGTTGATTGAACAGATTTTAAAAAATAAGTAAGTGAATGAATAAAGAACTCTCCCACTCGTTTACCACACCCAGCCCCATGCCAAGCTCTTCCCCACTTTGGGGGCTTTGCACTAGCTGTTCCTTCTGCCTGGAATGCCCTTCCCCCAAATATTCACCTGGTTGACTCCTTTGCCTTTAGGTTCAGCATACCTGTCACCTCCTCCAAGTGGCTTTCCCTGAACACCATATCTGAATGTCATTTCCCCTCAGCACACAGCACTTATCATGGTCTGTAACTATCTTTTGTTTCTATTTTATTCCTTCTTTCTTGTCTGTCTCCTCCTCTAGAATGTCAGCCCCTAGAATGTCAGCCCCACTAGGGCAAGAATTTTTGTCAATTTTTCCCACTGCTTTATCCCAGACTCTAAAGTAGTGCCTGATAATAAATATCTGTGGGAAGAAAAAAGGGCAGAAGGAAACAAAGAAACACAGGTTAAATGACTGAGGAAACAAGTGAAAGAATGTATGTGTAAAGCTAAATAAATGAAATAGGATAGGTGAGTGAGGGAATGGGGGGCAGGGTGGAGGGGGTCAATGGGAAAAAAGGGGACATATGTGGCCTGGCTAGAGTGGCTCAGCGGTTGAGCGTTGACCTATGAACCAGGAGATCACAATTTGATTCTGTGGGACATGCAGGAGTCAGCTGATCAACAATTCTCTCTCATCATTAATGTTTCTATCTCTCTCTCTCTCCCTCTCTCCCTTCATCTCTAAAATCAATAAAAAATATATTTTTAAAGAAAGTCATGTTATGGTTTTTTTTTTAGTATATTTTTATTGATTTCATAGCGGAAGGGAGAGGGAGAGAGAGAGATAGAAACATCAATGATGAGAGAGAGCCATTGATCGACTGCCTCCTGCACACCCCACCCCAGGGATCAAGCTCACAACCTGGGCATGTGCCCTTGACCGGAATCAAACCTGGGAACCCTTCAGTCTGCAGGCCAACGCTCTATCCACTGAGCCAAACCAGCCAGG